ATTTACCAAGTCCATTGCATAAATCTATGATCCAGTGAGCATTCAGTTGAGATTCCCCAATTTGGGTTGTTTCAGTATTCACATCGAAAACATTAGATTTGACCCTTTATTATGTAGCAACAAGCAATTTTCGTGCATATCATTATCGTAGGAATCGAACCCAGGACCTCTGGCTTGCTAGTCTGATTCTCAACCGATAGAGCTAAAGTTCGAGACACACATAAATATGTGTGTAGTATTTCTTTCCAGGATATACAACTTGTCACTGCTGTGTGTGTTGGCTCGTTTTCAAAATCATCATATGATAAATAAGCTATATTTAGGTGGTCTAATTTTAAATTGACCAGGGATATTCCCACCAATTTCGCTTGTCCAAACTGATCGCATGAGAGATATTTTGATGGTGTCAGATAATACTTTGAAAATTCATTAAAAAGGGTTCTCAAAAGGTACAGAACAGACAACAAATTTCTGAAAGTCAAACTTGCACGGAATATCCCTTTACTTAAAGACACCAATCTGGTTTACATTTGGACAATGGACACCTTACCTTTGTACCTCTTGAGTGCTTCTTGGAAGCGTATACGGTCACCAATTGTCTCCAAACCAAGGGTTTGTAATGAGGCGTTGTCCAGCTGTTGACATAATCTAATATCTGTCAATTTGTTCTCCTCAAAAATCGGCAATAATGTTGACAGATTTAATGAAGCAAGAACCTCTGCCACTTCATTTCCATGTGGCAGTGCCATTACTGACATCGACAGCCCCTACAAAAGTGAGAAAATTTATTTTGTTTTGACATGATTTTTTTAATTTTTACAAGCAAATTCTGTACAGTATTGGGCTTACGGGGGAAGTAATTCTTGGCTGATTCTTTCCCCCCTCAGTATTGATTAATATGGTTTTTTTGGTTATATTATACCCCCATCCCCCTCAGTATTAGTTAATAAGGGAGACCCTTGGTTATATTATAACCCCATCCCACTCAGTATCAGTTAATAAGGGAGACCATTGGTTATATTAGTTACTCCCTCCATCCCCCTCAGTATAAGTTAATAAGGGAGACCATTAGTTATATTAGCTACCCCACCCCCCTCAGTATTGGTTAATAGGGAGACCATTGGTTTTATCAGTTACTCCCCCCATCCCCCTCAGTATAAGTTAATAAGGGAGATCATTGGTTATATTAGTTACTCCCCCCATCCCCCTCTGTATT